GGGTGTAAAGGGTTAAAGTTGATTATGCTGAATAGAACAGAGTAAGAGAAAAATACAGTCATGCAGGCTGAAAGTTTTGTTCTTATGTGAATGAAAGTGCATTGTCAAGAATATTGGTGAGTCAAATAAAAATCACAGGCTGTTTGTAATATAAAGGCACTCATATCTTAATATTTAGATTGTTACGAGGAGTACAATTAGTTGTACAATGCATGATGCTCCAACTGAGAGTTAATATCTTATTTCTGAGTTGCTGTTGGCTTGTTTCTTTCAGTGTCTTGACTGGTTACAATGGAACAATCTTTGCATATGGTCAGGTAAATGAACACAGGCCCTCAAATATTACAGTATCTTTGCCATCCTTATAGTCTATTTCTAGCCACCTAAAGTATTTGAAATGTGCTATGTACTAAGTGCATGATTGTGTTCAAGATAATATGATAATCATGCTCTTTTCCATAAGCTCTATGCATATGTGCGAGGTGTGGCTGTGCTCTTGCAGTGTGCTAAATGTTACGTAAACTAAACAGTTGCTGTTTATCTTGCATGTAGACAGGATCTGGTAAGACGTTTACGATCACAGGAGGCGCTGAACGTTATGTTGATAGAGGATTAATTCCAAGATCACTTTCTTACATCTTTGAGTATTTTGAGAAGGTTGGTAACTTTGTTTGTTGTTTGGTAATGTCATCAATGTTAAATATTGATAATTCTTCATGGCAACTTCCTCTTTATCAAATTAAAATAGTCTTTGAGTTTTCAATTTTCTGTACTAAATTACCATGCACACTTTTTGCATTTTATCTTGATGCATGTGCTCCTTTAGCCTATAAGAATTCAGAATTGTCATGTTGTGTACTATTAACAATGCAAGCTATCCATTAGGTAATAGGTTTTTTTTCTAAATTTTGTCACCAGCATCCAGGCACAGTGTTCACTGCTCATATATCTTATCTTGAGATCTACAATGAAAATGGGTACGATCTTTTGGACCCCAAACATGAGGCTTGCAAGCTGGAAGATTTACCGTGAGTGAGAGCCTATTATTTCAAAATTATGCAAATTTAGTATGCAACCTCTTGACCATTTGTAACAGCTGGCTGATTTCTGAATGGTTTCAAGGGTTCTGGCAACTTTTTAAAGTGATGGAAATTTTGGAAAAACTGTTAAGATGATTTTGTGATTAAAAAAAGCCAATGTTAGTTACCTTTAGTACTTCTTTTAGGGTAAATAAACTAACAAAATCTTTTTTTTTTACTTATTACTAAGTATGAAAATAATCTTATAATTTTAGTTCGATTGAGAATATGGTATTAAATCAAACACTTTCCTCCAGTTGATGTTTTTTTTAATTCTTGGCATCTTTCTGCTCGGAAATTTATTGATAATGCAAGCAGAAATTCATTTCTGGTCAATCTTGGGTCTGTGAACATGGTTAACTGACAGGCTTACTTCTCCTCCACAGCAAAGTAAACTTATTTGAAGACAGTGACAATAATGTCCATCTCAAGAATCTTTCCCTACACCAAGCAAGCAATGAAGAGGAAGGTGAGATGAAGTGTTTTGATGCAGTTTTCTCCATTAAGTAGGAATCTTCCTGTAAACTGATGTGAGAAGTTACTGGAGATATTTCCGAACGATTAAAGTGTGTACATCATGCGTCACAGACTAACCTGTATAGACAGAAAATGGAGCTCAATCAAGTTGTTAATGCCTAAAGTGCTGCAGATGGGCAACAATGTTGAAGAATTGCATGATTTTCAGCATACATTTAGTTCTGAGCGAACTGCCTTGTGTGTCTTAACTGTATTTATTTAGTGACTGATTCTATTTTTGCTCTTTTTAGCTCTCAATTTGTTGTTTCTTGGGGACACAAACAGGATGATAGCCGAGGTGAGTTACTGTATTGTGAGGCAATATTTTTAATAAGAGAACATGCGCACGTGGTATTAGCCCGTTTAAAGATTCTCCAGTTTTCTTAAACCTATAGATATCTTTAACAACGTGCACAAGAATTATTAGAACATCTGATAAGTTAGATCCTTGATTCTGGAAAAAAGCGCTGTTCGTCCTCTAATTTTCTCTTATCGCGCATTTCTGACCTCTATTCCCGCACCTTTGATCACTAATCCCGTACACCTTGTTACTAACTTGTAATACGATTGAGGTATAAAATCGTTCCTCTTTACAAACTTGTTACCATAATGACTGAATGAGAGCGACGGCATTTCCCGATTGTACAACCTTTTCATCTGATCATTTTCGTATTTCGGTTATTTCTTATTTCGATTGTAAACCTTTTAACACTACAGACACCAATGAATCAAGCGTCGACCAGATCACATTGTATTTTCACCATCCATATCTCCACCCGTGATCCAGGATCAGCGACCATCAGACGAGCCAAGCTTCACTTGGTTGACCTTGCAGGGTAAACAGACGATATGAAACGTTATTGCACGCCGCTGTAGTTCTGAAACATTTTAAGAAACTGGCGGAGCTCTCTTTGTTTGTTTATTTATTTAACTATTGTTTTGTACATATAGGTCTGAGAGAGTTGGCAAGACCAATGTCGGAGGAACCTTGCTAACAGAAGCCAAGTATATCAATTTGTCACTTCACTACCTTGAACAGGTGAATGCGTCACGCAATTTTGAAAATAAGGGGATGTATGAGTTAACGAACGAACGTGGAAAGGATGTAACATAGAAAGAATGAAACAAACAAGCGATCAGTTAAGCGAACGATAGAACGAAAGATCGCATGACGCAGTTCAAACAAAAGAACGAAAGATCGAATAGACTCAGGGATGAATGAAGAAACGAACTCACAGACTTCGAAATTATCTTTATTTCAATAATCTGTTGTATTCCCAGGTGATAGTAGCGTTATCAGAGAAGTCAAGAAGCCACATCCCATACAGAAACTCGATGATGACGTCAGTCCTTAGAGACAGGTGAACATATTT